CACGTTAGGTGAGGTCCAGCTTTGTGGCCAGGTGTGTTGGTGAAGACACTTTGAGTATTCAGAGCCTTTAGCTTCAGCCACTGTGGGTAAGGGATTGTGGAACCCACACTTGAGCTTCTGCCTTCAAGCTTTGACTTTCTGATCTCCACATTGCAGCCATGCAAAAGAGCAGAATCGTGCCCTGCGCAGTGACGTAGATGCAGCTGGAGGGCACTACCCTAAACAGATGCACGCAAAAGAGCGAGAGCCAGATATTGCATGTTCTCACTTATAAGTGGGATGTAAACCTTGGGTACTTCATGGACACAAAGATGGGAACAATCAACACTGGGGATTCCAAAAAGGGGAAGGGAGGGAGGGGGAGAGCACCGGAGAACCTCCTGTTGGAAACCTTGTTCACTACTTGGGCAGTGGGATCATTAGGAGCCCACACCCCGGCATCATGCAATATACCCATGTAATGAGCCTGCACATGTACCCCCGAATCTAAAATTAAAAGAAAGAAAAGACATAAACTCCACATCAGATTTCCCTCCTGATTAATACTACTCCTTAGTTTGGAGAGAGATGGAGGGAGTCTCTGGAGTGGGGAGTGGACCACTTACCTTCAAGGTCTCTCTAATCAGGGAGGAAAGATCTGACGGACCTAGGAACCCTGAAAAGACGCTTTTTTTGTGTGTGATTGGGCAAAGCTGGGTCAGATGGCCACCCTAAGCTGCAGAGAAGGCTAAAAATAGACATTTTCTATTCACGTGGGATAATGGTAACTGGGGAATGTGTACTGGAGAGCCTCCCAGCACCAAGCAGACTCTGCCTTTCCTGTTTTCACTGCAACAGTGAGTAAATACCAGCACCACTCAACGTTGCCTTTGTTTTCTGTGCACTTAAGCTGATAAAACGTAAACGTCACCACACGCCGCTTCTGTCTGCTTTGCGTAAGGTTGTTTACCAACATACTTCTGCAATCTGGTTATGCCTTTGGTCAGACTGACATCTCCCAGGGTAGTGCAAAGATCTGCTGTAGTGCAAAAGCAACGTGTTTTGAGTTTCACACAGCTCAAAGAAAGCTTTAAAGAAGTCACAGCAGTGTAGAAAATCTGTCGAGTCATAGCTGTTGTTCGTGCAGTAGGCATGGAGAATTCTTTCTGTTGAGGGCCAAGTACAAGGGCTAAGAAGACTGAGTGTTATACAGTAAACCCAGCCAAGTGATGACCGGGTTCCTTGGAGTGGGCGAGGAAGATGAATGAGGAGGAAGGAACCAGACAGAGGAAGAAAAGTCAAGGACCATATTCATTGCATTATTAGAATTTTAGGGTGTGGCAAGAATTGAACATTTCCCAGTGATCTGCATGTTCTGTTGGAAGGAAGAGCAATAGGAAACTGGAAGGTCTCAGTTCCTAGGTCCAGTCCCAGGCAGAGCTTGGGCTGGAGGCCGGTGTTCCTGATCCTAGTTGTGTTTTATCCAATTGAAACATCAGTGGCCGCAGTCAGGCGCCTGTCAGTTCCCAGTCCTCAAAGCCCTTCTCCCGCTGCCTTTGACCTGATTCCACCTCGTTTTGTCCACACAGTGTTGTATTCTAATAAAAAATATTTTATTTTCAAGTTAACCAAGATGATATACTTTAAACATGTGTTACTATTGCAGTGTTTGCCTTTTTAAGACACGTTTACCAGCTGTCAGCTTTGCCATGGTTTGTCTACTTCTTACACTTTTTCTTTACTTTGTAGTTCACTTCTGTTTCTGCCGTGACAAAATATTCATTATTGGAAACTTCATGTAAAAGCCAAGGTTACTTCCCCTCCCTTGCAAATCTGCCCTGTAAGCTAGTAAAGTCATCGTTCATTAGCTTATATATTTTGCAAAATGGGGGTTTTAGTTGAAAGCAAATACTTTAACAAATTGGTAGCTTAAGCACAGCTTTTTCTTTTCACGTTACCATGTGCAGTCAGTGGCCTTCCGGACTCTTGGAAGGAAATCTGTTGTATGGTTGTGGTGGGCTTTTTTCTTCTCAAACCAGTCAAAAATACCCAGTCACAATTTTAAAAATTACCTGCTCTTGGTGGCGCACGCCTGTGGTCACAACCACTTGTGGGGCTGAGGGGTCAGGATCACGTGAGCCTGGCAGGTCAAGGCTGCAGGGAGCTGTGATTGCGCCACTGCACTCCAGCCTGGGCGACAGAGAGAGACCGTGTTTCAAAACAAAGCAAAACAGCATAACGTCATCTACTCTCTAAGCAAATTTTCATATATACAGTTTCACTATTGTATATATGAGATTCGTATATATAAAATTTCATATATCAGTTCAGTACTGTTAACTGTTGGAACCGTGTGTATGGTAGATCTCCATGGCTTATCTTGCTCGACTAAAACTTTGTATCCTTTGACCAGTATACTTCCCCTTCCGCCTCAAGCCCTATCCTCTGATAACTCTCTCTCTACTCTCTGGTTCTGAGTTTGAGTATTTTAGATTCTGGATTAGTCCATTCTCACGCTGCTAATAAAGACATACCCAAGACTGGGTAATTTATAAAGGAAAGAGGTTTAATGGACTCATAGTTCCACATGGCTGGGGAGGTCTCACAGTCATGGTGGAAGACGAAGGAAGAGCAGAGAGACATCTTACATGGCGGCAGGCAAGAGAGAGCACATGCAGGGGAACTCCCATTTATAAAAACATCAGATCTCGTGAGACTTACTATCACGAGAACAGCACAGGAAAAACCCACCCCCATCATTCAGTTACTTCCCACCGCATCTTTCCCATGACATGTGGGGATTATGGGAGCCACAATTCAAGAGGAGACTTGGGTGGGGACACAGTCAAATCATGTCAGATTCCTTGTCTAAGTGAGATCAAGTGATATATAATATTTGTTTTTCTGTGCCTGGCTTATTTCCGTGAACATAATGACCTCCAATTCTATCCATGTTGCTGCAAATGACAGTTTCCTTCTTTTTTAAGGCTGCATAGTATTCCGTCATGTACGTGTCCCATGTTTCCTTTATCCATTTGCCCTTTGATGGACACTTCGGTTGTTTGCACATCTTGGCTGTTGTGAATAGAGCTGCATAAACATGGGAGCGCAGATGTCTCTGCAAGATCCTGGTTCTCTCGGGTCTTGCAAGCTAGCATAAGCAGGCACAGAACTATCAGCAAGTGAACAGAGACGTAAATGGATCAATATTGATTAGTGAGCTTTGCTCATCAACAGATGCTGGTTCCTCAGAAGGATACACTTCCAAACCATCCTCTCTCTGAATGTCAGTTTCTCAGAAGCTTCATCTGCTGTCTGGGATGGATGTGATCACATAACACAGGAGGGCAGTTTTTGTTTTAGTGGCTCATCTCAGTCTGAAGCTGTGAATGGGTTGTTTAAAAATATTGCTGAGGAGTGACCTGCGTGCCAGTAAGAGCCTGCTGACGCTGGGATCAAGGTAGATGAAAGGCAATTTAGAGATGCTCTGAAATCCTGAAATCCATGAGCGTAGTAGCTCATGCCTGTAGGTCCAGCACTTTGGGAGGCCAAGGCAGGAGGATGGCTTGAGCCTGGAGTTCAAGGCTAGCCTGAGCAACGTAGTGAGACCCTCTCTAGAAAAGTGCAAACATTAACCAGGTAGCTGAGGCGGGAGGATTGCTTGAGCCCAGGAGGTTGAGGCTACAGTGAGCTGTGATGGCGCCACTGCATTCCAGCCTGGGCGACAGAGCAAACTCATTCTCTCCATTAACCCAAGAACATTTATGCCATGTGAAGAATATTTCAATATGCATGTGAACACATGCACACCTTGTAAGATCAGTGTGTTACAGGAAGAGGAGGAGGATGAAGAGGAAGAAGAGGATGAGGAGGAGGAGAAAGAAGGAAGAGGAGCAGGCAAAGCCTGTTTAGATTGAAAATGTGCCCCCAAGATACAGTAGAGATTTTTTTTTTTTTTTTTTTTAGAGACAGAGTCTCACTCTGTCGTCCAGGCTGGAGTGCAGTGGTGCGATCTCTGCTTGTTGCCATCTCTGCCTCCAAGGTTCCAGCTGTTCTTCTGCCTGCTCAGCCTCCCTGGTAGTTGGGACTATAGGCATGCGCCGCCACCATGCCTGGCTTTTTGTATTTTTAGTAGAGATGGGTTGTCACCATGTTGGCCGTGCTGGTCTCAATCTCCTGACCTCATGATCTACCCACCTCAGCCTCCCAAAGTGCTGGGATTACAGGCGTGAGCCTTTTATATCTTATTGACTATTAGATTTCTTCATTTAGATGCACCCCAGTGGAAGGAAGAGGAGGGGATGGAGGAGGAGGAAGTGGAAAAGAAAAAGAAGGAAATGGAGGAGAAGGAGGAGAAGATAGAGGAGAGATGGAGTAGGGAAGGAGAAGAGTGGGTTTGGGTTGAAGGCGTCCCAGCAGCACACAGCGAGATGATGCCTTCATGTTTGCAGCGGTTGCACTTGTTGCTGTTGTTTGTGGGCACCTGCTGCACTTCGTCTTAACCCACACAGATTTTAGAACACAGACTGCATGTTTCGAGCAAGCGTGAGCGTGCATTAAGGAAGGAGCCATGTTGAGGAGGGCTGTGTGTTTTATACTCTGTCTGGATTTCTGATAAAACCAGAGGGCCTGCAGAGAAAAAGGCATGTTGCATAAATCCGTTTACTATTACTCTAATGCTTCTCCTTGTGGGAGTGTGGTGCGTGTGGGTGTGGTCTCTGCAAAGACTGATCTGCAGAAATTATGGCCAGTCTGCCCCCAAATTGAAGAACCATTCAGAGGCAGATGGTGCTCTCTCTCTGTCTTTCTCTCCCCACTTTCTCTCTCTGTGCAATTTCTGTATTCAGTAGAAAATTCTAGGAAATGCTGTCAGCCCAGGTGCGCCATGACACCAAGTCTCTGAAAGGCTTGGGCTGTGCGTTTGCGGCCCTGGTGCAGCCCCCGGCTGATTGTGTGGCTGCGGTGCTTCCTCCCTTTGTCAGGGGACTTTATGGCCTCTCTGATGATTTTTCTCTCTCCAGGCACCGGGACGTTCGGGCGGGTGCAGCTGGTGAAGGAGAAGACTGCCAAGCATTTCTTCGCCCTCAAGGTGATGAGCATTCCTGATGTCATCCGCCTGAAGCAGGAGCAGCACGTGCACAATGAGAAGTCCGTTCTGAAGGAAGTCAGCCACCCATTCCTCATCAGGCTGTGAGTCCTCTCCTCAGGCCTCTCCCCGCTCACCCTCCCTAGGCCCCTCAGTGTCTCTTTTATAGGAAGCAGGGTGGGCCGGGACCATGGCCTGCGTGCAAAGCCTCAGGCCACAGCAGTCTCCACCTGGCAGGTCTTATCAGCCTCTGATCTTAGAGCTAGAAAACCTCCCCTGACCTCGATGGCCAACCAGGTCCAAAAAGAAATGCTCTGTGTAGAGAATCCATGCCAGGCCCCTTGCTCCTCTCCTGAGTGAGCCTGGTATCTCTGCCTGGAAATGGATGCAAGAATCTTTGTTTCCTCAGCCTCCTTGGGTTCTGCATCTACAGCTCTCTGGAGAACTGGTTAAGTTGGATTTTCAGGGACCACAGTCACGTGGATGGGGCTGGGCTTCAGGAACTCCAGTCATTTCGTGGGTTTCTGGTTGACTATAGATGAGAGATCTCCATTGAGATGCAGCCATACACTTCCGGCTCATGGTATGTCCTAGGGCAGGTGTGTTAGTCTATTCGGGCTGCTATAACAAAGGATCTTAGACTTGGTAATTTACAAATGACAGACATTTGTCTCATGCTTCTGGAGGCTGAAAGTCCAAGATCAAGATGTGGCAGATTCAGTGTCTGCTGAGCACCTGCTTCCTGGTTCATAGACGGCGCCTTCTCGCTGTGTCCTCACATGGTGGAAGGGGCGAGGGAGCTCTCTGGGGTCCCTTTTATAAGGTACTGATTCCATTCGTGACACTCCACCTTCTTGGCTTCATTACCTCCCAGAGGACCCACCACCTAACACCATCACCTGGGGGGTGAGGATCCAACACAGGGATTCAGGAGGACACAGGTACTCAGCCCATGCCAGCGGGGCAATTCCATTTCCGCCCAGGTGTCTTAGACCAGGATGCCTGCGTATCTCTCCTTTCCCTCCAGGGGTGCCTTCCATCCAATTCCCACGTCTTCCCTTTGCCGTCTTGCTACCGCTTCTCCACCGTCTACCTGTCCATCTGCTTTATCTGGGTCCCGTCTCTCTGCCCTGCTTTTCTGCACTGACCTCCCTCCTGCCTGGTCTTTCCCTCCCAGCCTTGCTCTCCTTGAAGACATCTGTCACTTCACAGCCGCATTTGTCCTCCCAGGTACCTCTGCAATGACCTGCCTCTCTGCATTCGTCCTCCGTGAGCTCCTGAAGCACCCCACATAAAGCCCCAGCAATGCAGTGTCCTCTGCCACTGTCCTCATGGACTGGCCTCCGGCCACCACCTCCCTGCAGGAGAAGGTGGAAGGTGCTGTTGACACGCTGTCCCAGGGCTTCTCCTAGGCCACCCCTCTTTCCCAGGCCTTCTTTGCTCTCATCATTGTCCTTCACTTCGCCCACTTAAGAAACCACCCACCTGTTTCCCTCATTCACCTGCTGCCCTTGGGACACAGGGTGCGCCCCATCATGTTCTTGAAGCACGTTGCGTGTACCTGAGCAAGCGCACCTGTCTGCCTCCTCCTTTTGATCCAACGCTGCCTGAGCTCTGAACAAAATCACGTGCAGAGTCTGGGTGCAGGGACTCACACCTGTCAGCCCAGCACTTTGGGAGGCTGAGGCCGGTGGATCACCTGAGGTCAGGAGTTAGAGACCATCCTGGCCAACATGGTGAAACCCCGTCTCTACTAAAAGTACAAAAATTAGCTGGCTGTGGTGGTACGTACCTGTAGTCCCAGCTACTCAGGAGGCTGAGGCAGGATGAACCTGGGAGGTGGAGGCTGTAGTGAGCTGAGATCATGCCACTGCACCCCAGCCTGGGCGACAAGAGTGAGACTCCATCTTAAAAAGAAACGAAAGAGTTCTGCTGAAGGCTGGGCCTGGAGGTGGGAGTCTCCCCTTCTCGTTTGCGAAGTTGATCTTTTTGCGGCTTGCAGGTGTCCTAAGCGTGATATTGGGGGGTGTGCCTGAAATCTTGGGTGAGGGGCTCCAGTTCTGGGGATTCTTCCCTGTTGAAGGTCGAATTGTGTCTCCTGAAAAGATACGTTGAAATCCTCACCTCTGGCTCCTATGAATGGAATTGGAATGCTGTTTGGAAATAGAGTTTTGCAGATATAATTAAAATTGCAAGGGGTCATCGCAGTAGCTCATGCCTGTAATGGTGGCACTTTGGGAGGCAGAGGTGGAAGGATCACTTGAGCCTGGACTTTGAGACCAGCCTGGGCAATATACCAAGACTTAGTTTCTACAACAAATTACACAATTAGCCAGGTATGGTGGTGCATACCAGTGGTCTCAGCTACTAGGAAGGTTGAGGCGAGAGGATGGCTTCAGGCTGGGAGGTCGAGGCAGTGTTGAGCTGTGACGGCACTGCTGCACTCAAGACCCAGTTTGTAAAAACAAATGAAATAATCAAATACACAAAAAAAAATAAAATGCAAGTAGGATGGAGTCATGCTGCTGTATAGTGTGCTTTTTTTTTTTTTGAGACAGTCTCACACTGTTGCCTGGGCTGGAGTGCAGTGGCGCAATCTTGTCTCACTGCAACCTCTGCCTCCCGGGTTCAAGCGATTCTCCTGCCTCAGCCTCCCAAGTACCTGGGATTGCAGGCACCTGCCACCACGCCCAGCTAATTTTTGTATTTTTAGTAGAGACGGGGTTTCGCTATGTTGGCCAGGCTGGTCTCCTGACCTAGTGTCTGCCTGCCTCAGCCTCCCAATACGGTGTGCTTTTAACTTTGTATGACTGGTGTCTACGAGAAAAGGAACGAGACGCAGATACAGAGATAGCAGAGCACCGCGAGGAGGACACCTCGTGAGGATAGAGGCAGAGGTTGGAGGAATGGTGCATCTCTAAGCCAGGGGACCCCAAGGATTGCCAGCTACTCCCAGAACCTGGGAGAGAGTCTGGGGCAGATTCTCCATCAGAACCTGCAGAAGAACAAATCCCGGCAACACCGTCAGGCTGAACTTTGGATTTTGGGCTCTAAAATCTTGGGAGGATACATTTTTTTTTCTCTCTCTCTCTCTCTCTTTTTGAGACAGAGCCTTGCCCTGTTGCCCAGGCTGGAGTGCAGTGGCACGATCTTGGCTCACTGCAACCTCTCCCTCCCAGGTTCAAGAGATTCTCCTGCCTTAGCCACCTGAGTAGCTGGGACTACAGGCATTTGCCACCATGCCCAGCTCACTTTTGTATTTTTAGTGGAGATGGGTTTCACTATTTTTTGTTTCTCTTTTCTATTCTTTTTTTTTCTTTTCTTTCTTTCTTTTTCTTTTCCTTCCTTCCCTCCCTCCCTCCCTCCCTCCCTCCCTTCCTTCCTTTCTTCCTTCCTTCCTTCCTTCCTTCTTCTCTTTCTCTCTCCCACCCCCCTTCTCTCCCTCCCTCCCTCCCTCTTTCTTAACAGGGTCTCACTCTGTTGCCCAGACTGGAGTTCAGTGGCACAGTCATGGCTCACTGCAGCGTCTACCGCCTGAGCTCAAACAATCTTCCTGCCTCAGCCTCCCAACTAGCTGAGACTACAGGTATATGCCACCATGCCTGGCTAACTTTTAAAAATTTTTGTAGGGATGAGGTCTTGCTGTATTGCCCAGGCTGGTCTCAAACTCCTGGCCTGAAGCAATCCTCCCCCCTCAGCCTCCCACAGTGCTGGAATTTCAGGAGTCAGCCACTACACCTGACTGAGAATACATGTCTCTTGTGTGTCCCCCTGTCCCAGTTTGTGGTACTTTGTTACGATAGCCCTGGGGACTCATACACAGCCCCTGCATGTCCTGGAGCACGGCAGCAGCCTAGAGGATGGGCTCTCGAGAACCCCACGGAAGAACTGCACGGCCATGGGAGTGAGTGGAGGGTGCGCGTCAGACAGTTCCCCACAACTGAATTCTTGAGCTCTGGCGTTAAAAAATAGGGAGGAGCTTGCAAAACAGAGCTTTAGTTAGAAAGTTCTCCTCCCTTCAAGCTGGGATAGTTCAACAGCTGTTTTCCTTAGCAGATAAGGTGGATTCCTGCGGGGAATGGATTCTGATTTTCATGTTGCCTGCTTTCAATTAAGGAACAAAGTCACTGCTATTTCTTAAGTCTCCTATAAAGTCCAAGACTTTAGAAATTCTATCCAAAGTCATCTATGCTGATTTATTTTTATCTTTTATATATAAAAAATGTATGTGTATATATATTTAGATTCAGAGACAGGGTTTTGCTCTGTGTCCCAGGCTGGAGTACAGTGGCAAAATCTTGGCTCAGTGCAGCCCCAACCTCCTGGGCTCAAGCAGTCCTCCTGCCTCAGCCTCCAGAGTAGCTGGGATTGCAGGCATGCGCCACCGTGCCTGGCTAATTTTGTATTTTTAGTAGAGGCAGGGTTTCTTCATGTTGGTCAGGCTGCTCTCGAACTCCCGACCTTAGGTGATCTGCCCTCCTCGGCCTCCCAAAGTGCTGGGATGACAGACGTGAGCCACCGCGCCCGGCCCTCACATCATTTTTATGCTGCTAATGTTCAATAAGAACATTGTCGACTGCCATTGTTCTAAAGGACCTAGAGCTGATTCTCTTTTGAAATGATTGATTTCTTGTGTTAAATGTTAGAATATATTTTTGTGAACTTGCTAGATAAGGGTTGAGAGAGCGGCACACAGCCAGGGTTTTTGTGAGTGGGTGGAGGAGGGAACTCCTTTATAGAGATTTCGCTTTGAATCAACAGTTCCTGTGTGCGGATGATTCCGCAGATAACAGGTACAATAAAAGTTTTGCTTTCCTTGTAGTGGGAAACTCACCACAAGGTGACAGGTTCATAGATTTTTATATTGACCAACCATAGTTCACTCTTATCTGCAGTTTCAGTTACCTGTGGTCAGATCTTGTCTGAAAATTCTAAATGGAAAATTCCAGAAGTAAGTAGTACTTAAGTTTTCAGTTGCATGCCCTTCTGAGTAGCCTGACGAAATCTCACAGTGTCCTGCTCTGTCCTGCTCGGGATGTGATTCATCTCTTCGTCCCGGGTCTCCACGCTGTGTACCTGCCCACCTGTTAGTCACTTCGCAGTC